AGCAGTATTGCACAGTGCTGCCACCAGCTATACCACAGTCACAGCAATGCCTTCCATCTCACCAGAAGTTTCTTTCTGAAAGTGACAACCCTTCCCAAAGAACCTAGCAGAAACGTTCCCACCAAGATTGCCAACATCCCACCCGTGCAGGATTATATTGGTGTGTTCTTAATTCTTTAGACTCTCAGAGTGCCTGGCTGCTATTCAGACTTACAGCAGACTAACACTATTAATACTGAGACAATCCTTGTAACAAAGTGAGATTAAGTATTTGGAGAAGTCTCCTGTAGAAACTTTTAACAGGCCATGCTCCAAACTCTGTGTGCTAATCTCATAAGCAGTTTTATGGGAACACAGAAATTAAACTAGAGTTTATTTTACGTCTGTCATTTTTCCTACAGAAAAAAAATGCTTTCTAGCTTGTATTTTGCAGAGGAAATATATTTCTAGAAGAAAAAAAAAAAAAGAGAAAAAAGAAGAGTTTTGAAACTTATAGTTCACGCAAAATGTTCTGATCTAATTTATATCCTTTCGTAAGTGAAAAGAAAGCTAGTTTAGAAGATAGACAGCACTGTTGTTTTCTGCTTAGGAGGAAATTACGGTCAGCAGAGGTAATGAAACGAGAAGTTGACTCTGAAAATGCAAAACCGATAAGAAACGTTTCAGGGTATTACAGCTAAATCATGCATCTCCTGGAAAACTTTTGTCTCTGTACTGACTTACACCCAGACAGTTCTAAAGGTGAGAACTGCTACAAGGTAACTGGGGTTTATTTCTTTCTTTCTTGTGAAGTTGCAACATGATTCTCTAATGATAATGATTTTTTTCTTTTTAAACAAGAGCCCAATCATTATTGCAGTCTGTTCTATAATGAATAACGGACCTTTTACAGTTTCATTCACCAAATTATCCCACTTTTTCTGAATAAATAGTTCTAAAGGTTCTGAAACACGTGGAAAGTGAAGCCATAATGGAAAGTTTTAAGTGCAGATCAATATAATTCAAGCCAATATGAAAAGGGACAATGAGCTCTGAAAATCACTTTGGTAGCCACGGTGGACTGTATTTCACACAATTTTTGTTGTTACCTCATCTTTTTGCCAGCTTCTTTGCAGGAGATGACCTGTGTATATGTGCATAAATAAAAACAGGTGGGAAGTCACACAACAATGAAGAACACCTGGTGACTGGACACATCAAACCACACAGTCTGAGTTCCTAAACCACCAAAAACACTGCAACCACAAAACCTCACTGGTATGTATTTAAATGAAGGATATGAAAATGTTCTATTTTCAACTGTTGTGTAGCAAGTGTAACTTAGCCGCAGCGGTACATGTAGATGGTTTCTTACTAGGTTAAAACTTCAAAAATTAAATAACTTATACACATTTGGCAAGTTCAGAATTTGGAATTAAATCTGAAAGGCACATATACTGACAACTGGACCCCAACACGTCTAGGATTCCCCAGTTTTTCTAAAATTTAGAAACAGACAAAATAAAACTGAAGAATAAAATAATAAAATAATAACAATAAGTATACACACGCCACAGATAATTTGTTGATGCCAAGAGACGGATTGATCTTCCTTCATGAAAGTAGGCTGGAAAATACCACATTAACATGTATTTCTGATACCTTAAAACACTCAAGACTTCTCTCAATCACAGTTCAGAAGAAACCAAATAATTATAAAATAAATAGTGTTATTTCCCTTCTTATACCACATCTTCATATAAGAAACTGGAACATGAAACTGTTTCATGGCATAAAACAGTTGATTTCACAGACCTAGCATATATTTCTTTTCCTTTTTCTTATATGAAGGAAACATAAAAGAATGCTCTGAAAAATCAGTCTGCAATGATAAGAACTTTTCCATTTCCCATATGCAGAACTTCAGTATTATTTCTGACAGTGATATGGAACTTACTTCCTTTTCAAACAACAAAGCCTCACTCCCCAACAGTATAGATGTGTAAAGTTTTTACTACCTGTCTATAAACACCTATGAGCTAACAGTCTACCTGCATAAATTAAAAATTATCCCCTGCCACAAACTTGATTATAAACATCTTAATACCCATTTTTTTTACCATTTTTGTCCTAAACTTTAAGTTAATGAACACTGAACTGCATTTTATGACAGCTGGATGATGCAGAACAGATGTTGAGCTAAAATTTCATTTGCCAAATGTCAGCTCAGAACACGTATTTAAAATTAGGAGTATCAGTAAGACTAACTACTTGGTGAAAACAATGGAAAAAAATGTCAATTACATCTGTGTCTACCAACCATTCCACTGGGCCTCCAGACAGAAATTATGTCTGAATTGAAGATTCCAGAAAATTATATTCAATTTTAGGAATACTAATTGCTTATAAGGTTGAGTACAATCTCTTCTGGATATCTACTTTTTTCATCTTGAGCTGAATGATACATAGGCTAATCAAAAGCCTACAAATAGTGTGCTTTTGTCTTGCAGATCTTCCTCTGCCACTGAGCATTTTTTTGGGCCTCTGGTTGGACAGGTAGATTTGGTGTCTGAAAATGACGCCTACTATTGCCTTCTACAATTTGTGACAGTCATAAAACACTCTGACCACCAGCCAACAAAAGCAGCAACATGTCTGTAAGGACACTTGTGACTTATCAGTTGACAAAGCGAGCTGCTGACAACCTGTGTACTTTCTTCTTGCTGTGTAAGATATAACTGGTAACCCTCTTGGGCATACGGCACAACTCAACACAGCCACTGAAAGCCTGTATTGCATTTGGGTCATTTTCCTTTTCTTGATTCTATCTCCCACATTCTACCCGAAGTAATTTCAATCCTTCCGTACTATTTTTTGAAGTATCTGGAAAGTCTTTCATTTTATCACTTCCACTCTTGTAATATATTGGCATTTTTGTAATCTATTCATATAATTCAACAAGTTCAAGGCATTCTGATTGCTTTTGTTAGTTTTCTCCAAACTCCTTTCAAATGTTCAATGTCTTTCCAATAGCTGAATGATCAGCAACTGCTGTAGGCCACAGACAGTTTCACAAGTCAGTCTGCCTTGGTGGAGTATGGTTTCTGGGGATTAAAGCATAACATAATCAAATGTGTTTCTGACATTTCTTTATCAGAATTATTCAAACCAACATGCAAGGGCAGAAATACTAATATATACCACATACAGCCTATGGATCAAACAAATGAAATCAAGAGTAATGCAAACCTATTTACAAATGTTTTGTACAAATTTCCAATCCATCTCACAGTAATCATTAATATTTACTGATCCCCTCTAAAGGGTTTATGAAGTTCATTTTATACCTAGATGCCTCCTCGCTCCTATTTTACCTACAGAAATCAATACCCATGAATGTACAAACAGCACGACAAGGAAGAACCAAAAAAGAAGGAAATGAAAAATACAAGCACATATCCTGTACATTAACAGTTGCAAAGTGATAGTAAAGGAATTGAACAGAAATAACCTTTTCTTAAAAAGATATTATGTCTCAGACCTGCAGAGATACTGTAAGTATGTCTTTCCTGTTTACAGGGAATAGCACACCATCATGCTTCTCCTATGAACATTTCAAATAGATTACAGTCATTTCTCATCTGGTCTAGCACACTCCTAATGTAAGTTTCTTTAACTTTCAACATAACACAATTACAAAGCAAAGCTCTTTTTTATACATGGGCTCTTATATTCTGGAATAGAAATATAATACCTCCGTTGCAGAAAAATACCTTTTCCCTCTCACTAATGTTTGCTTTGGTGCTGGGGGAAGAAAGGGAGCAATTAAATACAAATTTTTTTCAATTTTCTCCAGTTAAAGCTAAGGGGGGAAAAAAAAAGGTTGAAGACAGAAGTGTTCTCAACAAGTAAAACCCTGCAAGCAGTGATGTTTCTGATGTGCTGTAAAATGTTATCTGCTGTTCTGTTCCTGGGTGGAGAGAGAGAAAGAACTATAATGCTAAACAAATTCTAAATTTTGGCAAAGAAGTTTCTTCAAATTGTTACTTAAAAACCTCCAGCATTTTTGTGGCAGGCAAATTTTTGGACTCTCCTATCATTAAATTGCACATTACAACAAACAAACAAATAAATAAATAAATCACACCATCTGTCAAAGAAAAACACTGGTATAAACTAACACTTTCAACAAGTTTAAACTCAAGTTACCAAAGGGAATTGCTTTTTTTTCCCTCAGAAAACTGAACAGAACCACAAAGTGCATTGAGGATTCCAGCTAGCTTTTCTGTTGCTGTTATCACAGAAGTCAAATAATTTCCCAGAAAATTCTCTCTCTAATCTATGAGCCTGCTTGGGTTGTAAAGTTTCCTCCTTGCACCTTCCCTAAGTAGATTAGGATGGTCACCAGCAACATTAAAAATTGTGCTAAATATTTGAAAAGCATGCACAGCAATAACCATTTCTGCAAAGCTGTAATCATACATTCTTCTACCACATACTGGCACTGCAAGCCTGTACAACACGTGGGATGAAACACAACCCTGGTTACATGTTGCTTTCACATTGCTCACTCTCATTGCACAACACCAAAATATCCTTTTCTGCAGCATTTATAAACATTACATGTAGACAAACCAAGAACTGCAACAACTTCTGCCCAAGAAGCAACTTGAAGATTCAATCCACAATGTCCACAATGGCTACAGAGTCAACAGTCACTCCATTCCTCCCATTTCCAGAGAAAATTACTTTTCTTAAGCTTTTGAGGTGTGGCACTACTGAAAGCAGGCTAAACACACACACATTCAAGACCACACCTATCATTTCATTGCACAGAACAGCTCATGAGAGCTTTCTAAGGTGAAGCATTAGGACAATGCTGTCATGCAAACAAAGTCTTTCGTGTACCACCACGTGGTTTTTTTCTTTTATATCCAACAGCAGAAACACGCAAAGCAAACCGCAATTACAAACCTCAGCGCGAGCAGGAAATAAAAGACAATGAAGAAGGTTTCACCCACCTGGGGTCTTTCTGAATGCTATCAATGGAAGGTGACCTAGCCAAGGTCCCTTCGGGTGGGATGGCTGGCCCAGATTTGCTGTATGGTGATTCAACAGAAGGACAATACTGCAGCTGTCGGTAGGGGTCTGCGTAATTGGAGGCTGGGCCGGCCGCATAGCTGGCCCTCTGGAAGGTCGCGGTTGCGTTCTGTGTGCCGTGTTGACTGCCTGTGCGCTGTAAGGGTACGGAGTCGACACCAGGGGAAGATGGGGCTACGACAGGAAAGTAGGGACAAAGTAAAAAATTGAGGACCTGTTCACAGAAATGGTTAACCAGGTCTAGGCAGAGGAAAAAAAAAAACACACACATATAAAACGAGGGTTCAAAAAGAATGAGAAAAAAAACAAACAAAAAGAAACAAGCAACATTGTCATTTTGCAAACCTTAGAAGGAAGTAACCATCAAACAAATTTCTAAATGACATGCCAGTTCTGGACTAGAAGACCTTAATTCCAATTAAACATATTGGAGAGGTATTTTCACCCAGGGTTCAAACTGCACTAACACGAAATGAAGTGCAGAAGCAGTATGGGAATATTCAAGCTAAAATTCACAACCACCACCGAGTGAGGCTTTTGTAGTCCTTACAGGGGTGGAAGTCAGTCAGATCCACCAATAGGAGGAGAATCAAAGCAGGCTCAAGAGTCCAAACTGAGACAGATGGCTCTCCAGCAGAAGAAATACCCAGCCATCCCAGATTTGTAGCCCTGGTATGCATAAAGCAGGTAAAACCAGACACCTGCTACTGAGAGTCACTGCATATGCTTTGTTACCCATCTGCTGGAAATTCACCTTAAGACTTAGGAGAGTGTTATTGCTAACTCAGTCTGGAAAAGAGCTAAGTACAAGGTGACCATGTAGATGTCTTAATGCACACCAGCAGCAGCTATGCTCATACACCACAGCTCAAGATTAATGCATTACCAGTTCTGAGCAGCTTAACCAATAGCTTTAAACTGGCTTAATGCTTTTGCGACTCAAAAATCTTATTAATCTCTCTTGTAGCCCATTATCTTTCTGTTACAGCACTGGGTAGTGGAGATCCAGTCCACTGGATTAAACATACAGTATTTTTGAACTAAAGTCCAGTTAATGGCAAATGGATTATCACTGTAAGGGCAAGAGGACCAATACCCACACGATCTTTGGCCTGGAGACAGATACAAATTAAATGCTGGCTCTGCTCAGAAGAAAATTTGGACTGTTTGAAGTGGCACATGAACTCATGGTGGTTGCCATTTCTTCCTGTCCCAAGACAACAAGAATACTTTTGCCAAAAGGAGTGGCCCGAGTCCAGGGCTATTTTTAGCTGGGTCAAATTCATATGCTAAACTGCAGACAAAACCACATACTGAAGAGAGAGGTTTTAATAACAGATTTCCCAATAATTTTTCATTGGCATGCACATTTCAAAATAAATATTTAATGCATTATAGGTTCATGAAAGGGATTTTAAGCATTTTATCTCAAAGTGTCAGCAAATGAAATACAATGAGCTTTAAATTCTATTACCGTGGTTTTGTATGATCTTTTACTTATCAAAATTACACCACCTGAAAAGTTTAAATTTATATTGAATTTTTTGACTTATTTTAATTTCTTTTCTTATGGTTCTAAAGTATTTAATTTTACAACAGCAAGTATCATAACTTCATTCCAAACATAAGAAAGTGGGATCACCCACTTATCTATTACCCCATCCCTGGAAGTGCCCAAGGTCAGGTTGGATAGAGTTTGAGCTACCTGATCTAGTTGAAAGGGTCCCTGCTCACTACAGGGGGCTGAAACTGGATGACCCTAAAGGTCCCTTCCAACCCAAACCACTCTGTGATTCTACAATCACATTTACTCACATATATAGTAACATTTTACATGTATTGTTTTGGTTTAATTACTAGTGTGTGTGTGTGTGTATATATATATATATCTATACACATACCTCCTTAAGAAATGAGTAATTAAGACACACAGACCTTTTCATAAAACTGCATCAGTTCAAATACATTAACAGTATCAGCATATTTACACATCCCATGCACAAATCATGCAAAATTCAGTGTTAGAAAGAAAGACAAACATCACATTTTAACAGAAAATGCAGAGTTCAAAACCAAAATCAGGTACCTTGTGAGAAAAAGAGTAATAAAACAAGTTAGAGAAAATACTATAAATATTTTCAAGTGAAAAAGAGAAAATGTAATTGTATACTGACACAGCATACTCTTAAGCACTGTCATTCCATGGAATATGCTACTAGCATTTGACAAATTGTATGGGGAATTGCAAAAAACTCTACAATACCAATACTGCTGAAAACAAGAACTTAATCGTAATGTTTATGGCTTTGCAAGATATTCCACTGTATTTCTTTCATCTTCTTTGCAAGACAGTTCAATGAAAATCATGTTTGTTTTTAAATTATTTGAAAAGTTTTCTTTGTATTTTCTCCTTTGTCTTGTTATCAAAATAGGTATTTATATAAACTGAAACTGGCTGTCATCCTAACACCTACAAGCTGATCAAGTCACTCTGATTCATTTCTCAAATTACCTTCCTAGCAGACTGTTACTTCCTTTTGAATTTTATCACAATGAACACAGAAATGCCATATTCAGAATATGAGAATGACACAAATCTACGACTTAAATATTCACAATCATGTTTATTTGGACTGTGTCACCCAGATCAATTAAAAGAAAAACAAAAAACCCAAACAAATACACATTAGAAAAACTTCTACATCTAACGTGACTACATCCACTGTCACTGTAAATGAGGGTTATGCTCTAGCAGACATTTTTACAAAAATATGTGTATGTAAAACTAAAGAAAAGTCATCTCCTACCAATACACTTCCCTTGCTTAAACAAAACCCTTTGGCAGCCAAACCTACTGAGTAAACTGTGGCTCTTTTAGGCTATGGCAAACTATTGAGATCTCCCTTCTATTTAGCTATGCAAACAGCAAAGCTAGTGTGATTATGTCTAATGAAACAGATTTAGAAGTTGATTTCCTCACCCAGCATAGTAAATCTTCTCTGAGCACAGTGTATCCAGAAGGTACTCAACTGGACTGAACCAGAAAGCATTCACATACCAGGTACATTTGCAGATGGTCGTGCAACTTTTTAACATGTTTTTCAATTGAAGACACTTAGCCCTTGCTCTAACTGTTGCATTTGACTGTCCTGTCAAATGCAAGCCAGCTACACTTTGACCAGAACCAGGTCAGTTTAACTGAGGTGACAAGGATAGGGGGTTTGCCCCAGCAAGGGACAAGAGGAGCAAAAAGGAATTGCAACATAACTGTTTCTGGAGAAATGGGCTGTCTTTCCCACCAGCCTGAGATCTGGCCTGGGTGAAGCAGAATCACGGTCAAGTCATGTTGTTTCACTGGGTCTACCGCTGACCCTATTCTGCCTCTAGAAAAAGGTAAAACCAAAACTCATAACCACACTGTGAAGAAGCAGGTTTAGTTTTGTGAAGCTTGAAGGTAAAGGTGTCCACAAAACCAGACCTTCCTCTGGTCTTCAAAGTCCCAAAATTCACAAGGAGATCAAGATTAAAATCAAATAAGCAGAAGGACTCAAAACCTTATCCTGTATTGTGTCTTACCTAAGTGAGCACTCATGAAAACACTGCTTTCAATAGTGACTGCTCTCCTCATTTTTCAGGAATTTACCTGGAAATTCAGTGGATTCTGAATGACAGGTAAGTTTCTGAAGCTCTGCTTGCTCCTTTTGCACTGGCTGGCCTTCCCACGGTTCCTGCTCAGCACAGTGGCCTTGCAGAGACACAAGGAGAAGGCGACTGGGACCCGACCTCCCCTCCCAAGTGCCACACTCCAGACACGCAGGAAGGGCTTGCAGGGTCCATGGCCTGCAGCTGAGGCCAGCTCATGCTGGAGGGAGAGCCATAGCACACACTCTCTGCTGCAGCCAGAAAAGACCCAGCACAAAAAATTACATGCTCAGTTGTAGCCCAGTAAATCTCTAAGCATTATCAATATTTTAAACTTCAATATCAGAACTGTCCTTGAAAAGGAGAATTTTAATTTTGGGTTGAGAGAAGGGTTTCACTGAGGAAATGAGAATTTTCCAGGTGAGAATTTCACACTGCAAATCAAGCACTACAATCTCAGTGATCTCAGTTTGTCCCCTAAACATTTAAGATCTTGCTTGAATTTGTCATGTCATTAATACCTAAAAGATACTGTATGATCTCAGCCCCTCACTACTCCAACCAAAATCACATACCCAGTAAATAGTGTATCTGGGGTACCACACAGACATTTAGTATACTCCTCCAAATGTCTGTCTAAGAGAAAGAAAAGCCCCTGTTAAATATAATGAAAACCCTCCAAAAACCTCATATATGCCCTGATTATGGTTCTCTTGATTGCAGAAACAGCATATAGAAAAGCCAGTCTTTATAATTTTAATTGTTAATACATAGTATTAACAAAGATATCACAACTTTTATATTAATGCTGATAATTTAGGTGTATCACTAAATATGCTCACAATGTGATACTCAGAAGCTGACTTTCGGCTTTTGAATGTTCTTCTCACATCTGTGGCAGATGTTAGGAACCACTAATGTAAAAAGCAAGAATGCCTTAATCTAGGCAGGGATACTATTGCACCATACCCGAGTATCTTAGGGAGATCAAGTTTGCATATGAACTGCTAAAAAGTTCAGACCTTCTAGAAGCCAGAGGACATTTTGTCAAGTTAACATAAGAAAGATCAGACCTTCAGAAATTATAAACTGATAAATGAGAATTATCTTGCTACACCTGCTTGTTGAAAATTACCTCACTGATGCTGCTGTTTGATTTTCAGATATTACCTTGTAAAATTTTCCTCTTATTATTTGATATTAGACATTCAGTTCCTGTGCTAACCTTCTCCTAGTTTCTTTCATGGAGATTTCAAAATTATTTTCTTTGTTTTCTCCCCTCATTTGTTTTCTTCACTGGTTTGAACTTGCAGTTGATTTATACCCCCTCGTGAAAGTTGAAAATTGGAACCCAGTGAGATATCTTTTCAGTGCAAAGTATGTCCACCATCCCACCCCGAGTTCATAAATGATATAAATGTGGTGCATTCTGTTGGTACCAAATTTATAGGAAGATTTATAAAGCAGATCCTTTGCCCACCTAATATACCATAAAAATAACACAGTGTTTCTCTGTCAATTATGAAAAAAAC